TATTCGGTTGACTCGGTGAAAGAGGTTACTTTACCCAGCTTATTCCATTCAAACTAATCCAGCCTGAGCGCCCCCACACGACCTAACCTCACCCAACCTAACCCATCGTCGGCATCATCTTTTGCATCATCTTCATTATTATCTCTGATTATTAAACTCCATTTTATATGATCTCGTTCAATTTCTTCACTATCATCTTCTCTTTAATGTCATCTTTAGCATCTCCTTCAATGTCATCTTTGCTATCATTCTCAATATTGTCTTCAACACCTTATTCGATGACATTCGACATCTTCTTTGTCATCATCCACAGCTCATCAGCATATCGATAATTTGGCAAAGAGGTCAAGCCAGTAACAAAATTACTTGAAATAATGCCCCTTGAAGTCAAGTAGACGGTGCGAAATCGTTTTCGTTATCGTTACGGAGGTTTCATTCAACTGTTCTTTACTCTATAAAGAGTGTCTTCCCCAAACGCAAGCCAAATGTAACATTTATTTTCTCTCTCAGTAACTCTCAGAAATTGTTGTTTTTGGTATCACATTGAAGCTACAATGTTATCGTTTCCAAAAATGAATGCTACAGGTACATTTGAATCCGATGATGCGTTGAGGAAATAATCTCGATTACGTACAAACAACCACTGCTTTCTGAAATAAGCATGAGTTTCATTAAGTTTAGGACTAGAAAGAAATTGCAGAGGTAGAAAAAAAAACAGTTGTGTGATATTTCAGGATATAAATTAAGTGACTGCATCCACTGACAAGATAAACTATTAAAACGTTCCTTGGAAAGAACAAAACCGAGTTGTATTACCCAGTTTAAAATAACCCTTGAAAGGCAAGATGAAATTTCCAGTACAGGTAGAAAACGTTATTGGCTATAATTTGATTTTTAAAAAATCGGACAATTTTGGGGACAAAATAAGTTACTTTGTTTGTGGGAGGCAACCTTTACAGGTTAAAGTGTACATGCATGTTTCGCGTTCTTAGGTCGCACAGCATTATCCTAATGGCGGTTGTTCTATAATCTGTTGTAGGCTTCTCCGTCGAGATGGTTCCTCTTGCTACACCACATCCGATGCCAATCTGCTGATTCTTCGGTCACAGTGCTCAAACAGACTGGTCAGGGCTTGAGTCTTTTATCAGTAGCACTCTCTTAAACGCAACTATAGGATGGTGGTATTGAAAAATCAACTGTGTTTTTACATGTGTCTCTAAGCCTACAGACCAATTTCCATGGGCAACAGACGTTCACAAGCGTGACAGAGAAATAAGTAATAACAAGAGCTAGCTATTGCGGAAATCACAACGTTTGAGGATATTAACTTAGTTGATTAAACCTTTATGATTGTACGTGTATATAAATCGTTTGATTATTTTTGAGCCTCTCTTGTACACTTGAAATAGGTTGACCGAGTTACGCACGCCACATTATGAGGGCTTTTGGCTGCAACTGATTTTAGGCCAAAGCTTAAAATTTGCTTATTATTAATGTACTGCATTTATGTCGGGATATTCAAGTGTTCCAAGTCGTTTGTCTCCATCAATTTTCGACTACACATACAGCTCCAGATAGTTACTTTTATTTTCCATTCGAAAAGTTAGAGCAATTACTTACTCATCCAAACGCCTGGAAATCGATTTTTCAAAGATTGTAATTTTCATTTTTTCCCCTGTAGGGATACTGCCAAGCAGCAATGCAAGATGCTGAAAGTGGTAAGCTTAATTTACTACAGGTGAAAATTGCACATGCCAATTTCTAGTAATCTCTCTTTCAAAGTGTCTTTATCCCAGGCAATGCAGGAAAACTGTCCAAAGTGTTGTGTATTGTTGTTGAGAGGCGATAAAGATTGTTCAGCAGTTCAAATATGAAAGCCAAGAGAAGTGGATTTTATTCAGGGTTTCAAATAGAGGTACATCCAGACATTTATTCTGATTTAGTGTAGTTTTTGGTACTTTTTATGTAGCAGTTGTGTAACATGACGATGGCTCTATTCGGAGTGAGTGAAAAATTAACAATAAATTATGCTCTTTTTAAACGCGCGAATTTGATTGAAGCTTTGTATATCAACGGACACTCCGTTCCTGCGAAGATCGAGCTAGTGAGAGCTAAGTACGCATTTGCCTGCGCTGAAGGAAGTGACAGTCTGACTGAATTTCAACAATTCCTGTTCAGCGAAATCCCTGAAAAGGTAGGATGGTAAAAACGATCCATACACTTTCAAAATGCAAGCTTTAAATTTCTGGAGAGAGAGAAAGAACTTTAAACAAATCACTACGTAGGCCTATATTTGAACTGGCGATGACATGCCAATTTTGCCTGAACTCAGTAATGTAGTCCAGTTCATTAAACGTCTCTCAGTCCCACTTCAAAAACTATTCAAGTGAGCTGCATTCTGTTTACTTGTGGCTGGCCTTTCTGCAAAAATGACTTGATGGACTCAACTACATGTACAACAAAGCAACCTCTGAATACGTCCATACAGAACACGGTCAAACTGATTGAATTAAGCTTGTGAAGATTTGACGCTTTGAAGTGAATTTGACAGATTTTTTAATAAGATGAAGTAGGTGTGTATCTCTGCACACCCTTGACCCTTTCTACAATTACTTTACTGAGGAACATGTCATGTTGTCTACAGTTGAAAGAAAATCCAGAGGTGAGGGAAATCATTAGACAGGTTGAATCCTCCTTGTACCCGCTGGCATCTATGGCTCCGACCAAAGGGGCGACTGCCAACGGGCCGGCACCTTCTCTAGCGGCACCTGCTCGGAATCTGACTCCTTTTCAAAAAGACCTTACCACCAGGAATGAATGGGTAAAATCACCGCAATGCAACTATAAAGTGTCAATTCGTTATAATTGTTTTTATAGAGAAGGAAAAACTGACAGCCGTAAAATGCCCATATGCCGACGTGTTTCACTTTTGCATAAAACCATTATTTTAAAATCCTTTCATTAATCCAGGTAATGTTAAACTGCTTAAAACCCTGCCCAAAGTGGTCGTGGCTCCATTTTGGAGTGCCGTTTTGCTAATTTCTTGATAAAAACAAATTATGGCCACTTTTGAGATCCCCCGAAACAGATATCGTGATCTTTTTTTAAACCTTTATAAAGATGTAAATGCAAGAGTGAAAAACTCACTCTCGAAAATAGTGAGTCACTTATAAAAGCACTCAACAAGATTGAAAACCACTCTAAAAAGAGTGAAAATTACTCAACAAGAGTGAAATTCCCACTCTGTCAAAGGGCCATATAAGTTATATTATTTTGCCATGGCTCCAATTTTAGAGTAATTTTCACTCGTTTAGAGTGGATTTTCACTCTTTAAGGTTGGTTTCACTCATTTCGAGTGGATTTATGGGAGATTTACTCTTTCTTAGAGTGAAAGTTTTTACTCTGTTGCCTTTAGAAGACGAGACATTTTAAAAGACAAATTGGCACGCTCAACATCGTAATAGGGAAGCCACTTAACCAACAACCAGAGTCTTCAAGGTCACTTTTATAATGCTCATCTTTTGAAATCTCTTTAGGAGAGTAGCAAGTCTTCGTGCACAGCTAAAGAAACTGAGGATGTGAAAAATGCAACTGTTGAGTCACAGCCAATTATCACTCAGAAAGGTAAGTCTCTCGATTTCTTTTTCCATTCTCTTTTCACCAACAATGAAAGTGCACATTGAAATTATCCTCCAACCTTGCTGAAATATATTGTCTGTTACAACTCTGTGGTAAAGGAATCGAATTGACAATCACTGGAGTCCTGTTGCAAGATTGCTGGTTTAAAGGTGATGTACCGGATCTTCAAAAGCCAACGACCACTTCTAAGCTAACTTGATTATTTTCCAACCCCTGTAGCTCCAGGAAAACGCAGTTCCCATAAGTTAAAATATCGTCGCATATAAACTTGTACCAGTGTCTACAAGATTCCTTTCCCCCAAGTATAATGCTGGTTTCCTGCATCTGTTGCCCTAGCCCCACATTCCCCATTCAAAACTGCCCCTGGTCTGTCCTAGCTATTCACCGGTCTTACTCGCTACCTAACTGGCGTGATATCCCGACATAGGACACTGCCAAGTGCCATTATAGAAGAACCCATTTTAATGAGCAACGACATCATTTGAATTGTTTCCATACAGAGCAGCCCAAACTATCTCAATCGCCACTACCACAGCCCGAAACGCCGGCCTCATCATCACCTCCACAGCCAACTTTATCAACACTATCGCCCCCACCAACATCATCACAACAGCTACCAGC